AATCATAAACAATTGGGTAATTTACATAATAATAACTACACATATCATTGAAGAATAATTTTCTTTATGTATTCAGTTTCTTTTTTTAGAATGTTTTCTTTTCATTTTACAATTTTTGGATTTAATTAAACATTTCTGCTTTTCTAAAAAATACTAAATGCATTTAGAATGTATAGAAAAAGTGGCTAATTTAATTTCTTTAGTAATATGAAATTCAGAAGAAATATGAAATATGTATGGTAAAGGCAGGTTACAGAGCTGGTATGGCAGAATTTTTAGAATTTAGAGCAGACATTGGAAGCAGAATTTAGAAAAGCACTATGCAGTCGAATTTAGGATCCACAGAGATTGCATCAGATGGGAAAATGCCTAATGCCAGCTCTATGTATGATCCATTGAGGCATATAAGGTGAATCTTTTAAATTGTCAGTTTTCAATTTCTTTATTAATAACAAAATCCCTTTCTATAATGCCTGCCCAAGTAATAAGATAAGAAGCATTTTTGATATTTTCCATGCTTGCGTTTAGTGCAAAGTAGAGAAAATAAAGGGAAGATAAACATGTTAAGAAAAAAGATTCTAGTACTAGGAGTAAAACATTCAAATATTATGACTTCATCGTTCGTCCAGACGTTCTCCAAAAAGTAAGAAATTCATCACAAACTTTCAGTAAAATACATGCATTAAGCGTTGATACCATAGAGACATTTTTCATTTTGTCAGCTATTTCTCAAATCTTCTAGAACCGTGGGTATATAAATCTTGCCTTCAAATCCTTCTAAATTTTTCAAGCTGCAATGTCAAAAATACTACAGAAAAATTATTCCAACCAATTCTGTAACAGCAGAAAGCCAGAATTTTTTTTGGGGGGGAAGAAAAAAAGGGGAGGTGGAGTGTAAAATTAATTTTATAGAGAAAACCGATGCATATTCTGAGACAATTGCATGGGAAAAATGCTTACTATGAAAAAATTTTAAAAAAGACATGTTTAATTAATTACATAGCTAATTTTGCTTTTGCTAAGAGCTGTTTCGTAAATTACGCTTTATAGCATTATACCTTGTTTATTTTTCAGATTCAAAATGTTGTACAATAAGTTGCTAAAATGAAACTTTATAACATGACAGCAAAAAATAAAAATGTTTTATTTTAATGTTATTTTTTAAATATAATTCCAATACACTACCATTATTTTAATGAAATTTATCAATGTTATGATGTTTAAAAAAGCGAAAATTGTTTAAGAGCTCTTTATTACGAAAAATGAATTTCGAAATGCTTATGTTTCACTTCTTACTTAGAAACTCGAGTATCCCATGTATATTAGAAACAGAAACAAATTATAGCCCATGAACCCATTCAAAAGATAACCATATACATCAGTGAATTGCCAAAAATCTTCCTCCAAAATGCTAATTCCCACTCAAAATGGCAGTCATAAAAACAGACAGAAATTTCAGATGTTTAAAATTAAGGACGAAAAATCGATCCCTCTTAAGGGGTAAGACTTTTAAGGACAGTACAAACTCTGTATCAGCTATATTCTTATCTCAGCTTAAATTTAGAAACAAATCCTCCGTAATTTTTTAATATTTTGCTTATTATTTAGGCTGTTTATCACTAAATTCCATTTTTAAGACTAGCACAGACCTTTAGCTTAAATGTATTGGTCATTAAAATGGGAAGAAGCATTAGAAGGTGAAATAGGCAAAAAAGTAATTAAAACCTGAATTTAAATAAGCCTTTAAAAGGTTAATAAATTCAAAATTAAAATGCTAGTGCTTTTTTGTAATGTTATGAGTCCAACAGCATATGCATGAAACATAATGGCTGAATTAGCCTTTTGAGGTCCATAGGATACTTAAAATGAAGAGAGGTTCTACTGTGACCACATTTTCATTGAGACAAAGTGGGACAAATGGAATGAAATGAAAATTGTAATTTAGTTATGAAAGCAGACCAATAATTCAAAAAAGAATATATTTTATTGTATGCATTCATATACTTGTCCATAAATATACAAAATTTTTTGTAAAAAACTACAATTTGAATAATATGCTTTTTAATTAATTTAAAAAAATTATGATGTTCTTTCATGGTCATATTTTTTATCCGAGTGAATACTTTGCAATAGATTCGGATCATTTATTAAAATGTTATGAAATTTCTCACATGAATTGATCAAATTATATTTTACCTTTAATACAGTTATTATTTAATTATATTTTACCTTTAATACAGTTTCAACTGTGTTTTTTTCAGTTGTCCATATTTTATTGATACTAGAAAAAACATGTCCTGTTGCTGCATTTGTTCCTGGAAGGTAAAGCGCGTGTTCTACAGTTTTCAAAATATTTTCATAAGGAATATTATTTTGTTTAAAATAGAGGAATAACTCCGTCCATTTTTTGTCTGTTTCCACATTTGCAGACAACCAACATTTAATTTTTTCTTCAGTAACATATCTTTTTACCAATGACACCTTACAAAAAGATCACTTTCGCAAATATTATTTTTCGGAAAATGGTTACTAATATATTAAAAGGATTTTTCCACGTATTCCCATAAAATATCCTTTTTTAATGTCACCTAATTATTTTATGTTTGATTTCTGCGCTTCTACATAAATTCTTCAAACATTCAACATGCACAATATATATATATAAATAGGAATAACTTTTTGCAATAATATTTTAAAGATGCACTGGAAGTAAGTCAGATGCTGTTTGAATAGCATTGTGTAGAATGTGCGCTGCACAACCTACTCCAATTACTTTTTGGTTCAGATGTTCGTTTAAGTTTCGTAAAAACATTATTGATGCTTCTTTTCCACCAAAATTTTCGTTAATGTTATCCTCTCAATAGGCAATAATTTTATTGTTCAATTTTTTTTTAAATAGTACTTATTGAATCAAAAATTATTTATGAAATTTCACCCAGCAATAAAATAAAATCTAATATTCTAATTTTAATTTCTGTTTCTGGATCAAAAAGGTCTAACAATTGTGGGAAATAATTTTAAATATTTGTGGTTAGAAGCATCATAATATATGGATATAAATGCACATTTAATCTAATTCTTTCTGCAGTTGTGAAAACGAATATAGTGTAAAAACATTACAAATAAATACAACGTTTTTGTCCTTGCACATGCAAATTTTTTGTCGTACAATGTTTTGATCATTTGCGATGTACAATCAATTGATTTGAAACTTTGATTGTGGTTTATGAAGCTATTTGCTTTCCACACGTTAACAATACATATTCCTTGACGAGATGTAACGACAATGATCGAACAACACCGAGTAAATCTAACTCGTTATATCGCCTAATTTAGTTTACTATGCATGCATTTTATGTGTTTTTTTTATTTATGTATTTTTATTTCTTTATATTTACTATAAAAATTAATAAATAATAGGTAATTTATTTTTACAGTACATTTAAAATAAGAAATGCAGATGTTTTCTAAAAAGCGGGACATTTTTAAAAATCGGAGGGACGTGGGACACTCCTCCAAAAAGTGAGACTGTGCCCCCAAAATTGGGACGTGTGGTCACTTTACTATATTATGCTTTTCCTCTTTCAAGAAGTTCCTTGCTGTTTGTAACAATGGCTCTTTCAGATACTTTGATTCACCATGAAAGAGGTGCATTTCCTTCACAAAAGGAAGGAAAATGTAGAAATTGTTTTCTATACTGCTAGATGGCTTTCCTTACGGAGGAAAAATTTAAGAGAGCAGTTGATTCTAAATCAGACTATTCAGTGATATGCAGAAGAAAATGTATATTTCCATAGTATAGCTTTTTTTTTTTTTTTTTTTTTTTTTTTTTTTTTTTAAAGTTTATCAAGTCTTCACCTTATTTTTTAATGCATCAGAAAAATTTTCCACAGATTTCATGATCATATTTTTTTTAATTGTTATTTTTACAAACATTTACATTTCATGATCTTTTTTTGTAAATTTACAAACATTCATGATCAAAAGCATTATGCATATGTTGCAGTGAACAAAAATGTTATTTATTGCCATAGTTTCTTGTAATGTTTAATTTGTTTTCTTGCATAACTGAAATTATCTGAATTCTTTAAAATTTTTTCCATGGAAAGACTCGCTAAAAAAATTTTAAAATGAGTGATATATAAATGATTAAAAACAAACTGTATGGAAATGTTAAACTTTAAGTTGCAGAATAGTCGAAATTTTAAGCTTAAATAATAAAAATGGTTTAAGAGCAAAAACCGACAAGAATTTAAAATATGCAGTGCTTAGTTCGAATACAACTTGTACTGCATATTTTAAATTCTTGTCGGTTTAAGTACTTATATTAGTGCAACCACCTTAATAGAAATCACCAAATCTCCAGGATGCATCAAACTCTAACAACCATGCACATAATAATGTTTAATAATAATGGGTTTAAACATCATCATTTTCATATACACTTTTTTGGTTGTATTTTACATTCCAGCAGTTTCTAAAGACAACTCGTGTCTTTAGAAACCACTGGTATTAAACTCAGTTTTAAATTACCCATTTATGGCATTTACCGGCAACTATAGAGACTCCTGTAAAACTTCAGGAATACAGTATTGTACCATAAAATTACTAAAGAGAACTCTTGATTTGAATCTGACCTTAAATCATAGCCACCAAATTTGCATCAGAATAAAAACCTGCTTGTAAGTAGGATTATTGATTGATTTTCAGGGTAGTACCAAATTAAAGCATAAAATATGTAAAGATATAATAAATAATATTTTTCAATTATTTATTACAATCACTCATTCTTTTCCTTCTGTAAAAAATTGTCAAACTATGCCAAGGCTAATATACATGCAAACATATATTAGTACCATAATATATGTGCAAACAATCCAAATTTAATGCAAAAATTAAGAGAGGGAAAAATGTAAATCAAAGTAAGACATGATCTATAAATTCACATCCTGAGGTATGAGGATTATCAGAACCTTTATATTTAAGGCCATGTTTCTTACCTTTCCTTTTCCCAAAGAAAGAGTAATAGTGGGCTTGTCAGGAATATCATCCATGTAATTATGAACAGGACTTCCAGTTAGTGACATAAGGACTTCACCTACACGAGGTTTTCTAACTACTCCCTTCAGTGTAGGCTTCCTGAAATATATATGCTAAGTTAATATTGCTATAAGACAATGTAAGAGAGCTCTCCTAACATTTTCAAACTATACAGTCAGGAGAAGTAAAAATAATATTTAAAAACAATATTTTCAAGGGAAATATTTAAAAATCAAGAAATTACTTAGGATCAAATTTGGGCGTAACAACAATACTGGGCAATCTGCTGTATTTTGATACAGGAGTAAGTAATGATGTTTCACTCTGAATTCTGCTAAGTCGAGAAAATATATTTGTTGATTGGCCTACATTGATGTTTGGCAGAGGCCTTGAACAAGATGCACTGAAACTTCTGTTTCTCTAAAAAAGTTAAAACAATAATCTTGAATTACAATACAAATTTGAAAACAAATGATGCTTTGATAAAGTAAAAATAAATTCTGCATATTTGCTCTTATTCTGTAACAGGATTCATACAAATTTCTACACATGGAAATTAAGTATTTTTAAGGATTTTCAAGGGCCACTAATGAAAAAAATTAAGGATCTATCAGCAGATGAGAACTGAATAAATTAAAGATATTATCTATGCTTGACTTCACTTTAATAATACCGTTAATAATCACTTAATTACCGTTAATAATCACAAAATAAATTCAACTTTGTCAAATTTATCAGCTAGCATTAAAGTGTAAATTTTCCTGAAACATTTAAATTTTAAAGATTAGCAAAAATTTTATATACATTTTACTGACAGTTAGCTTTATGTTTATTCTTTCTTTTACGCCTTGCTATGTCAAGCAACATAGGTTGAAATGAGAAGCGAAATCATAACATGATCTGTGACAGAAGTTTGTTAGTTGCTTCTCTTGAGAGAAACCTGCTGATCAGAACAGACCTGAATGCCTGTGACTGGCACAGATGGTGAGGGTTGAAATTTAGTCATAGTTAAGTAGTCCAGTTTGTGCTTTAAAAAAAAAAAAAAAAAAAAAAAAAAAAAAAAAAAAAAAAAAAAAAAAAAAAAAAAAAAAAAAAAAAAAAAAAACAAAAAAAAAAAAAAATTTATGCTGTCTTTTGGGTCCACAGTAAGGATTAATGTAGGAATTCTCAACAAATGGCAAATTGCCCCCCTGGAGCAGAATTTCATTGTTTCAGGGGGGATGTGGTCAGTCTATTATTTATCTGTTAAGTACCGAGTTTTAGTTTATTAATATAAAAAACTACTTTTATTCATATTTGGGTGTTTATCAACATTTTCTGTAATTTTTCTTGTTTAATTTATAAAACATGTTTTTGAGAGTTTTAGAAAGTACAGGGGGAATAATGATCATCTAGAAATGGTGAAAGAGAAGCATGGGGTAAAAACGGTGAAGAACTTCTAGATTAATGAAAGACAATCACTTGTGTTAACATGCAGAGATAATTAGCAACGAGCAATTGGTTACAAATAATTAAATTACATAGTTTAAATATCCTTAGTCATTATAGACTAAAATGATCACTATTAAATTAAAAAAGGCATTATTAAAACCACAATCTAAGGATATTTTGCAATTTAATATAACAGATAATTACACATATAATTTATGACATTGGTTCTAAAGTGACATTAGAACAATTATACATCAAAACATTTGTGTTTCATAGCAACAACACAAATATTCACGTCTTTTTAATTTGAAAATTTTCAGACATTTTAGCTAATTTATATCAAATTCCTGTTTTTAATCATCTTTTCTACCACTAAGAAATTTGTTTAAAAAAACAAGCCAGCCTTCCCTCTAGTTTCTGCTTCATCTCCTAACTTGTTAATGCATCAACAATATATCTTTGAAGAATAACTTTTTTCCTCTTTATGTACTACATTTCTTGCTCAATAAGTTTTTATTTTAGAACTTTTGTATTTGATTACTGTAAAGGACCTTATTTTCACGAGCCCGTCGTAATCGCGAAAATTTAAGCCTCACGAAATACTTTCTTTTTTCCGCCTCAAATAATAATAAAAAATCAGAAATTTTTCACTTTACCAAAATTTAACAATTTATTGTACAGTTACAAGCTTTTTCTTGACAACTTTCTTTCTTATAACCATTTTTTGAATAATATACAACTATATTTCTTGAATATAAAACAATAAAATTAACAGAAGGCAGCTCCTTCAGTTAGAATACTATTTATACCAGATTCTTTGAAGCCATTCAAAATTATCTCATGTTTGGCTTCAATACCGTTAAATACGCGAACAAGCCAAGAAGGGTGTAAACAGTTTTAGTCATGACATCCGCAAGTCCACAGATTCTTTTTTCCTCTAGAAATCGAACTTTTCGGACAAAAGGAAGTTTCTTAAAATGCTTTATGCAAAAGATGTACTTTTAGAATTTTTTAACTTTCTCAACTTTACTTACATACTTTTGAAATTTTTCAACTTTCGATTCTGTTCATATAAAATTCACGAAATTTTCAACTCGTGAAATCACCGATATATTCATTTTCAGGAAAATTACGGCCCATGAAAACAAGGGCCTTTACAGTAAGTATTTATCTTATTCTATAAAAGTGCATGTATTTAGAATGTATAGAAGAAATTGATAATTTTACTGTTTTAGTAATATAAGCGCTGGGCATAATAACAAGTGATATATGGTCAGAGTGGGTGCCCGAATATTTAGAATTTAGTGAAGTACTGAGAAAAAAAAATCTAGGAATGGCAAAATTTAGAACTTGCAGAGATTGTATCAGGTGGGAAAATGCCTAGAGTCAAACCTGTGTACAGTGCATTGAGATATATAACATAAATCACTTATATTTTCATTTTCCAATTTTTTTATTAACAGAAGTTCCCCCCCCCCCTAGAAATGCTTATAGTATAAGATTTTCTACAGATGCTTCTAAAGATATATCTACAAGATCAGAGCCATCTTTGCAATTTTTCATACATGTGTTTAGTGAAAAAAGAAAATAAAGGGAGGATAAACACGTTAAGAGAACAACTTCTAGGATTAAAAGCAGAAAACTCAAATAATTATGTTTTCATTGTTCTTCCAAATTCTCCAAAAAATAAATTCACCACAAGCTTCCTATAAAATACATCCATTATGTGTTAATACCATGAAGGCAAATTTCATGTCACACTTTTTCTGGAAGCTTCTGGATTTGTAGGTCGATAAATTTTCAAATCCTTCTTTCCACTTTGGAGATGCAATGTCTAAAATCCTAAAGAAAAATTATCCCTACCAATTTCATAAGCATAAAAAACCAGAAAGTTATTTTAAAAAGGGGGAAGGACAGAGAAAAAAAGTATAATGTGAATTTCATAGAGAAAATTGATACAAATTTGAATATTCTGAGACAATTACACTGAAAACTGTTACATGAAAAAAATCTAGAAGAAAGCACATTATATTAATCTCTAAATAATTACAACAGCTATTTTGCTTTTGCTAAGAAGTGGTTTGGAAACTGTGCTTTACAGCATTTATTACCTTGCTTATTTTTCAGATTAAAAATATTCCAACAATAATTTGCCAAAATGAGAAGTAATGTCACTTTATAATGTGACAGGGGAAAATAAAAAGGTATTCTATTATCAGGACCAGATTCAGAAATGTAGGTATGTATGCATGTATATATGGATGTATGTGTACATTTATGCATGTATATATGTATGCACACATGCACAGATACCTACATTTCTCAATTTGGTTTCAATAACAGAAGAGTGCCAATAAAATGTTTTATTTTAATTTTATTCCTTAAATACAATTTTAATACATTATCATTATTTTAATGATATTTATCAATGTTATTATGTTTATAAAAAATTTACAAATCTTCGAATAAAAAATTTTGTATACAAAATCTTCAAAATGTTGATAAGTTGCTTAATTTAGCCCCGTTTAATAAAGGAATTTATATCCCAAAAGAGAAAAGTTGTTTTGGATGTAATATTTAATGAAGTCTTTATTTGTAAAAAAGAAATAATTCTGAAATACTTATGTCTCACTTCTTGCCCAGAAACTCGAATATCACATTATTTATATTAGAAGTAGAAAGGAATTCAAACAATAACCCAATATATGTTTGTCAATGAACTGCCAAAAAATACTCCTCCAAAATGCTAATACATACTTAAAATGGTTGTTGTAAAATACAGAAAAAAATGTCAGAAGACTTTTAAGGACCATGCAAACCCTAAGTAAAGGAAACTTTTTTTTTTTTTTTTTTTTGTAAACTTTGATGAAAAATAACAGAATTCTGCATTGTTTATAATGACGGGGGGGGGGGGGACGTTGCGGCACGCAATGAACTGGAAGTTGATCTGTCAGCACTATCCTTATCTTCAGGGCAGATGTTTTTATTTTATTCGGCTTATAATTCCTTACTAAATATAGTATTTCATCTCGATGTACTCCGTCTTTGATATGATTTCTCGTCAATAAATTCCTCGTCATTATAAATATCATGAATACACATCAAATAGTTTTCTGGTTGCAATTTTCTAATTTCGACTATGCGTAATGTATGCTTTACACATGCATGCGTTGAAAGAAATGTTTAATAAAGTAAACAAATAAATATTAAGCTTTTTTTTCTAAATTTTGATACCCTGTAGATCATAATTGCTCTTTGTTTCCTAAATTACGGTTTCATATTTTTAATGTTATAATTTCTGCATGCCATCTTACCAGATTTAAACTGATGATCTATAATCCGAAAAACCGATCATCCGGAATCGCCAAAGTCCCGATGAGTCCGGATTCAAGACTTTTGACTGTATTAGGTTCACCATATTTCATACATATTGAAACTGAAGCAGTAATCAACATATATAATGGATGCTTCAAGTTTATCTTCAAAATATCCAGCTTTGCAGGAAAAGGATCAGATCATATTTTGGGAAATTGCAATTCTAAAGGGAAAAAGAACAATTACCCCGAGAGTGATGAAATTTTCTGCTGCTAAATTTTGAAATAAGGGTGATATCATGCCATTTTCTTAATTTGAAGTACATCTTAACTCCATAGCAAGACTGAAGGCTCTATAATGATATGCCGATTTAGAAAATTCTCTTCTATTCTTGTATGTGGTAAATAAGGCATCAAAACTGGAACCAGTATTCTAGATAGGAATATGGAATTTAACAAACAGTTTCCAAGTTCTTGGAAATCTGTTACTTCTGTAAATGCACACTGTTTAAAGCTTATGAGGAGAATCTGGCCTAAATGTCTATCCCATATAAAGCTTTGCCAAAAGGAAAACTTTGAACACTATGAAATCTTGCAAGTGAAGAAGGCTGAGTTTAACTATTACTAGTTTTGTTTCAATAATAAATTCATCTAGCAACTATTTTCTTTCCTCATCCTGTTGAAAATTTGCAAACTTTATGTGTGATGAACCTGCATACAGTGTTGTTTCCGTACTGGAACTAACATAATCATAACCTTGAAACAAGTTTTTCAACTTGCATAAATGCTTGATTTACAATATCTATATTTAGTGGTATGACTGTGAGCAACTGCATTTTTACTTTGTATTAGATGGAAGATCTTTTTTATGACTGTGAGCAACTGCATTTTTACTTTGCACTAGATGGAAGATCTTTTTTATTCTCCTGGCGATTTCCATCACTGGATTCTTTTATAATGTTGAGTTTTTTATAAATAAAGCAATTCAACTTTCTATACGTGATGATAATTGACAATGATTCAGTTGTTGCTTTCTCTTTCAATGACGAGACACAAGTATGACTATAAACGAAATGCATAATAAATCTTGTTGGCTTCATGCACTTTTCTGGAGATATGTAGCTATTGTCATTAATGCAGCTGCTTGATCAACATGATCACCAGATTTCAAGTCATTTAAGTGCAAATAATCCTAAACCTGAATTCAGTATTTAGGAATTGTCAACAAATTTAACAGAAACCAAGATCTTGAGAAGTTGGTTCATCACTTAAAATGCCAAAATGCTCAAGAAGAATGACAACCTACTTAGATGTTAAGTCAAATATTCATTGAATAACCTAGAAAGATAAACAAATTTCCAGGCCTGTTTATAGTTAATAGAATTCCATGTTATACGGGTTTCTTTAGATTATCAACTGATTAATATTACACATTTCTAGTGATAGAATTCATAAAATCATGAAAATATCTTGTTAATTGCAAATATCACAGCATGTTAAACGTACAAATTTTAAATACAATATACATAAATTACACTGGCTCTGACATATTTTGTAATAAAATACATAAGGAATACCTTTTTAAGTTTTTTTTTTTTTTTTTTTATTAAAAATTTTAAATCCTTGTGCACCACATAGTATTACACAAGGCTTACAGAGGTAAGTAAAAAAAAAAAAACAAACAAATACACACAACACAACACAAAATAAAAAATAAACTTACAAATTCACAGATGATACGTAAGAGATAAATTTACAGAAAAAAGAGAAAGCCATTTTATGTTGAACAAAAACATGAAGAGGGGGGAGGAAATGAAATATTCACAGAGTTTAACTTAGAAATGAGTTCCTTTCGTCCTTCCTTGAGCTTTGAACAATAGAACAATAAATGTTCGACATTTTGCACTCCCCCGAAACTGCATGAACACAAGTCTGTACTAGATAATCTAAATCTCTTCAGATATGAATTGAATTTACCATGTCCAGTTAGAAATTGAGTAACTTCAAAATTGCAGAAAAAGTGTTTATTATTCAGTCTGTGAGGAATGGAAGGAAAATATAGTTTAGTCAAAGAGGCAGTAGTAGAATTCCTGTATAGTTCATTCCACTCGAGTATTGTATCATCCCTACTTTTGTTCTTGTAAAATGACTTAGGAAGTATCATTGGAGTAATTACTTGAAGATGTGTAGCTTGTTTTGCCAACCAATCAGCCCGTTCATTTCCTAGATTGCCAGTGTGGCCACGTACATGAGAAAAGATAACATCAACACCTTTATTATTAAGGTCTTTAAGAAGAGCATGGGAAGTCACAATTAATTTATTATATGAGAAGATATTCCTAAGAGAAAATAAGGATGAAAGAGAATCAGTGCGAATAAGAAATTTAGCACTTAGCGAACAGTTGTTAGATATCCACTTAATTGACTCACTAATGCACAGTAATTCGGCTTGGAAAACACTGCATTCATTGGGAATTCTAAAGAGTTTGTATTCCAGTTCAGAACCATTATGAAAAACGACATAAGCTAATCCAACTCGATTATTAATTTTACTGCCATCTGTATAACACACAACAGGGAAATTATCATCAACAGAATTGTCATAAATGATAGTTTGAATTGGCAAACGATTGGCAGGATGAGGAAGATCTTCAAACAACACCTTGGCATCGAACATAAATTTGCTGATGGTACCTTTAAACTTTTTGTCATTCAAAACATGAAGGTCAATCGGAGGAAATCCTGAAATTGCGAAACAGGCTTCATAGCTAATTGTTCTGTAGCCACGCACAACTCTTAGTAAAATTCTTCTTTGAATTCTGCGAAGTATACGGGGAATTAATCTTCTTTTCTAAAGCTGTTCCCCACACTCTAGAAGCATAGCAAATAAAGGGGACAATACCCTGCTTATAAATCATATCAATAACATTAGACTTTTAAACTAAAAGTATTGCAAGAGACAACGATTAAGTCCTCTAAGTATATTTTCACACTTATTGGATAAATACATAATATGATTTTTCCAACAAAACTTATGATCAAGAATAACGCCTAAATATTTAATTTCATTCATCCGTTTCGAAATAAGGTATTATCCAAGTACAGTTGTTGGTTTGTATAGCTGACAATGCTTTCTTTTAATTATCATAATTTTAGATTTATTAGGATTGAATTCCAATTTCTGTTCTCTGGACCAATTGGAAATAATAGTAAGGGTGTTTTGAGCCGTATTAAAGAGAGTAATGGGACACTTCTCTTGAAAGCAAATTAGTAGATCATCAGCAAAAGCAATTGTTTTACAACTCGGACAATGTGAGAGTCTATTGAGTAGATCATTCATAATTAAATTCCTCAATAAAGGTCCGGAAACCGAGCCTTGAGGGCAACCTCTTTCCAAAATGCGGGAGGAAGAAACGTGGCCAAGGGAGAGCAATGCAGATCTGTCATGCAGAAAATCTTTAATAAGGTGGTAAAATATTACACGGAATACCATCTTTCCTTAAAAAAAAAAACATAGTATCCCAGGACCACCAGGCGTGGTCGAAAGCACCTTTTGATATCAAGAAACACTAAAACCTGTGTGTAAATTTCTCTTCTTACCTTCATCCACTATGTCTTTTAAGTACAAAAGAGCATCTTTACAACTCTTATTAGGGGTAAAACCAAACTGTGCTTTGTTTAGCAACTTTTATTATGCAAGAACCAGGTAATTCTATTAACCAAACAGCTTTTCTAGTCATTTTCCTAAACTGGGAAGAAGACTAATGCATCTCAAGTTTATCTAAATGCGGGATACGAGGGACCACTGTTCTTATCGATTAAAACTATATTCTCTCTTTTCCAGCAACGAGGAAATGAACCAAGCCTTCAGACAAGTATTGAAGATTTTGGAGAATAAATTGGAAACATTCTATGAACTTGCTTCAAAATTTCGTTTGAAATAGAATCAAGACCAGGGGCTTTATTGCATTTAAGTTTTTCTATAACACTATTATTTCTGACATAGTAAATGGAGGATCTGGATTAGCAACATAATTTAACGAAGCTTCAGCCCTAATCATTCTATGAAACGAATTATATCCGTGCTAAAATGGTCCATGGGAAAGCTTCTGTTAAGAACCTCATTAACAGTTTCTTCAAGCGACTTTGTACAATTACAGATGGGAGATAAATTCCACTGACTTCAATTCCTTTCATAAAATTTTTCTTTATACCATTCGTATATATTTTTTTCCAAACATTCCTTTCATTTACTCATTAGGAATTCTCTCCAAGACTAAGCTTTGCATCCTGGAGCTTTAAACTGTAACTATGCCTTAAGTGAAGATATTTTTGTTTATATAACTCTCTAAGAGTAGGGTTACGATTTCGTTGAAACCTACGTCTAGCAGCGTTAACCTGTTTTCTCATACAATCGATTTCAGTAGTCCACCAAGGTACCTTATGAACCCGTGACTTTTTAGAGGCATGGAAGCCTTAGATGCGTTATAGAGAATCGAGACAAAATTTTCTAGTTCGAGAGTTTAATGCATGCTTATCCGTACAGCACTCAATAAACTGCGAAAACTCATCAATCGACTGCTTACATGTATTGTAAAAAATATTCCAGTTAGCTTTCTTTACACTGAAGACAGTTTTGCTGTTTTTTCTGTCATAGAAAGTGTTATTAGAAGCTACAGAAAGTTCAAACTCAATCGCACAGTGATCAGAAAGGGATTCATAGTCTGGTTGACACCAACACAAAATATCTGCAAGAAGATCAGATCCCACAACCGTAATGTCAATATAGCTTGAACCTTGAGTACTACAGAAAGTAGGACCACAGTTTCGTTTAGAACGAACAAATTATTCATACTTAAAAATTCACAAAGTTTAACCCTCGAGAATCTGAAATTGGACTATGCCAAATTTCAGATTTGCTGTTGGCATCCATAGCCTAGAATCAATCTATTACAATTTTTTGAAGCTAGTGCTACATTAATTTTATCCAAATCCAAGTCGATATTTCTATTGGGTTCAAAATAATAGGGAAAAAAGATAAAATCATTAGTATTGAGAGTAACACGAATAAAACATCCATATTATAATCAAGATTATTAATTTCAAGTAGAGTAGACAGCTTTTGATTCCTTACAATAATGGCAGCTTTAATGATATCACTATTAGCATCAAAGTAAACCTGGTAAGAGGGAAGGCAAGTTGGGAAGAGAGCATTTATAAGAGTGAGGCTCCTGAACAAGAGCGATATCAATGTTAGAATTTTCCATTTTTAAAACAAGCTGCTGAGTAGCCATTTTCGAACGATGAAGATTAAGTTGAATAATTTTAAGAACAGAAAAGGGAAAGTTAGCCATAATTAATTTGAGAAATTATTCTATTCTTCATAAAAATGTGAGAAGGACAATTTTTATTTTAATATATATACAGACTGCATTTATCAGGAGATAGATGCATAATGCAAAAAAACCACAAACTTAAGAATTTTTGTCCTACATATTTCATACTGTACTATTAAATGTACCTATGCAAATCCATCCATACATATATAACTTATCTTTTCTGAAAATAAAGGGACTTACCTCTTTTGTTTTCAAAGCTTTTTTTTCACTTATTAATTTCAACCTGAAATGAAATTTTACATATTTATTTTTAAATAAAAGACTACTATGAATTATGTCAGGAAAAATTATCTATCATGAAAGATAAATCAAGTATAACTTTATTGGTTTCCAAAGAACTGAATTTTAGATGCATATTAATTTTTTTTTCTAGGGTAAACAAAAATCATGAACAGAATACAATTAACATTTAAAGATATTATAATTAGAATAGCGATAGAATTACCTTTGAAGCTTAAAAATTACTGCTTAATTTTGATCTAACATTTTCCATAATTTTAAGAAATATACAGGGTGATTCTAAATTACTTTTACAAATTAAGAGAGGTGATAGTACTTATCCAGATGAGCAATAATTACCATAGAATATAGGGTTGCATTCCACTCTGACAGGCAGAAAAGAAGAATATTAGAATTCCAATCTGAACTTACAACAGTGTTGGGAAAGCGAATGAACGAGACCAAATGTTACACAACCAGTTTAGTGACAAACTCACAGAGAGTGTACAAAACGGATAAAACCCAAAATTTAGCAATCGAGTGTTAATTACAGCTGAGACTTCGATAGCTAACACTCAAATGCACATCTTTGGTTGGCAAGGTCTCAACCTCGCAAATGATTGCAACAAGTTAATTATCTAAATTATAAGGGGCGGGGAACTACCTTGATATCAAGTATCAAGATAGCAGTCGTTTTTCTCTTATCCATCTTCTATCTTTTCTTCATGGACTTACTCTACTGCACTCATTCTACTTGAAGCACCCTTCTACAGGACACAAAGTTTTGACAGCTGGAATGCAGCACAAGCTTTTCATGCTAATCTCAGCATGCAGTGGACGTTGGAGTTAGTTGACAATATTCAACCCTTGATTGCATAATTAACGTGTTGCAATCATTTGTGAGGTTGAGACCTTGCCAACCTAAGATGTGCATTTGAGTTTTTGCCATTTAAACAAAATATATGCAAGTCTCTAAATCAGACTGGATCGAACTGAAAGTAATAAACAGAGAGTGTTATTTCACAGAACATTTATTGACAAACACCAAAGACGAACTTATACATATACATAATTATGACATCACGGTTTCTTTTTACAAATAAACACTACTGCCATCTATTGGCTACTATAGTTATAAACTTATATTTAACACCCCCCATGCATCCGTAAACGTATGCATCAGTTTTATTGAACTTCAAGATTATAAAGTCTTTCAATTAGTCTTCTAACAACACCCTTATCCAACTGAATCTCATAAGATGTAATTCTACCATCTCTTCCATAAAATAATTCCTTAATCCTTTATTATTATTAGAGCATTTTTGTAAAAGGTTTTATAAAGAATATTTGTTAGAATTAAGATCAGTTAGTTTTCAAAAACTCCAGAAAATTCTCCCGTGTTTAAAATTAATGATGTAGATAATGTGATAATGTGCGTTTCACATTATCTTCTCGTACAAGTACTACATCATTAATATATTAAGATACGTTTTAAACAAGTTTTTACAGATCTTACCAAATGTTCCCAGAATCCACCCCATCAAGGAGCACATTTTACAATAAATTTCGATTAAAACCCATTTTTCCCAAGGAAATTTAAAACCTTTGCATCTTTACACAATTTAACAAATATTTTAATTCACGATCAGCAGTTTTAAAGGTCTTAGCATTATCAGAATAAATAACTACAAATACCTCTACGTGCAAAAAAAATCTACACAATGCTTCAATGAAACACTCTGTACTTAAATTTGATAGCGATTCTAAATGGACTCCTCGAGTCACTGCACAGGTAAACAATGAGATATACACTTTTGTTCCATCTTTTAAATACAAAGGGCCAGCAAAATCTAGGCTACTTACCTCAAATGGTTTCTCCATTTGACCAGCAAGAAGAGGAGTCGATATCTTGTGTCCACTATATTTTTTACAAAATCTACAATTATGTAACACAGATTTTACAAAACGTGTAGCTTTTAAAATCCAAAATTTCCCTCTTACTTGTACTAAAGTTCCATTTACACCCCTATGAAGTACCTTTTCATAACAATTCAAAATAACTAAATGAGAAAAGTAATTATTTGGTAATATTATAAGCTGAATTTCATCAACATTTAATGATGACTTCTTTTTCATCCAATACCAGATTTAACCCAAACAATTTGGAATTATGAGACAATGGTTTTTTACATTTAATATCATTCAATTCTGCACAAAAATACTCACCTTGTGATAAGTTAATCCAATAACACATAGCATTACATATTTCACTTTTGGTCACAGGACCAATCACTCTATTCTGCGACTTCAAATTCTTAATGAATCTAAATATATATCACGTGACTCTTAAAAGTTTACTTAAGTTCTCTATTTTTAACACAGGCTGTAAAGGTTGAACACTGCTTGAGTCACAACTCTTTCGTTAGCACTATCTAGTATGTTACAATGCTCGTTCACTTTAGGCCAATTTATTTCATCTTGATCAAGCCATGGAGGAGCATGCTACCACATTCGATCTTGTACGAATGTTTTCCACCGCCGTGATGAGTTCTTTATCCAGTGAAGCACAATAAGAGAATCTGTCCATAAATGAATCTTAGCTTGAGGAAAATGCATACGGACTATAGTTACAAGCATCTAACACTGCTGCCATGAGCTCAAGTCTTGGTAAAGAAAATTTTTTCAGAGCAGCCACTCTGCTCTTGGCTATCACTAAATTTGCTCCAGAATATTTTAAGCTACAGAATTCCACATACACTGCTGCTCCGTAAGCACTTTGAGATGAATCACAAAAACAATGTAGTTCCAGTATTTCAGGTGTTTCATCAACATCCCGAAAATACCACCAAGGTATCTGAATATTAGGTAGATCACATAGTTGCCTATACCATTTGTTTCACTTTTCTTGCAATTCAGGTGGGATAATTTCATCCCAATCAACACCTTTCAGCCACAAATCTTGAAACAGAACTTTTGCTTGAATAACATATGAAGCAAGAAACCCAACAGGATCGAAGATTTTTGAAGCGGCTTTGAAAACACATTTTTTTCCTAAAACTGATTATCAATAACTTCCTTATATTGCGCATAAAAGTTCAAATTTGATTTAAATTGTTCGATCAGATTTAAAAATTGTCTTTCAGCATTCTTAAAATTGTCACTTTCTCATCTTCCCATGGAAGTCTAACTTTGTATCTATCACCCTTTTGTGTAATTGAGTTGTTAAATATCTGCAACGCCATTTCATTTTGTTTCATTCATTCGCATGCGTTAACGCATTATGCATTGACGCATGCACAGAAAGTTTGTAGCTTTGAGGTCCGGATTATTGATCATTCCGGATTAACGACTTTTGACTGTATAATCTTATTTGCTATGATTAAAAAGCATTAAATTTGATAAGCTAAAACAGCGTGCAAAATCGCTGACAAAATTTAATTCTAAAAAAGAAAGCACTAAAATTATGAGACAGTGCTCTAATGTTTGAGAAAGAGATGACTCCTATCTGATTTTCAAGTATATTGGCACGAGACGAAACCTGCGGTTTTTGCCAAAATGTAGCCAAACTGTCCCAAAGAAGAGGGAAACAATTCGTAGCCAGCGGCTATTCTGAGCAGCGACAATGGACCACCCAGAGATCTACAGATAGGCGATTCTCTAAAATAGGGAGGGGATGGCTGGTACGACAGTTGTACCACAGCCATCATTAAAGAAAGTCATTTTCCTGGTACAACTGCTGTACTACCGGCTTTAAGAGGTTAATAATTCATGTTATCCAGGATATCTATTTTGGGAGGCATTTATGGTGGCAACAATTTGAAGAGTGAAACAACGCTTGTAGTGAATCAATGCAAAATGCCAAAACAAAGTTAATAGTACTTCTGAGCAAATTGCCCCTTTGGATTAATATAAAGTTGGTAGGTTTCCAGACTATATGAGATCATATGATGATAACACCATAACACTTTATATAAAATCTTTAATTTTTTGCAAGATCAGCATAGAGAAGAAACATACTTTCTCTAGCTATATTAGTAGAAGAGGCGGAAAAGGCTCCCTTTTTTTAATAATTTATGTTATCCAGGATATTCATTTTGAAGAGCATTTATAACAAATGTGGCTAAACTTTGTTAGGAGGAGCAGCATGCGAGTTCAGGAAAACTGAAGAGCTCTTAATAGATTTATTACAAGCCAAAATTAGATATTTATATCATTTTATAAACAGCAAACCAATATTTAACTATAAAGAAATGCTTTAAATAATTTAACAATAATATTATACTTCAAAATTCGTGTTATTATAAGTATAAATAAATAATTCTTGTTGCTCCTGTGCTGCATTCATAAAAGTCTGGTATCTTTAATTACGGCAAAACACGCGAGGTCTATGCCTAAGGGTAGGATGTGTTTGAGGAGGACTTTCTAATGGAAACTGGCTCGTATACACATTACACATAGGGAAAATCATGAAAATGCCAATGCAGCCAGCCCATTTGCCAAGTCTTGAAGCATGGACAGAAATGACTTAATCTCAGCTGCCGGTGGACTTTATTCTGTAAAGTATGCTTCTACAATACACAATTCCGCACTTTTGAATGAAATTTCTCAAGCAGAAAACCAAGCATTTTCTTGTTTTTCTCTCCACCTGAGTCCGATTTTATTGTCAACCAGTTTTAATAAGAATAACCTGGGAAACAAAGAACATTTATTCACCTTCCAATAAAGTAAAAAGCTGTTCATTCATCTGCACAATAATACAGCAATTTTGAGCAGAGGGGAAAACAATTTTCCCTTGTTTTTACCTGCAAATCAAGTAAGACGAGATACAATAATCTGCAGAGAAACTGCAGTTTGATGTGTAAAAATGATTTAAAATTACAATTCCATGATACAGGCAGAATGAAACTGCAGCAAAAACATATGCACAAAAGTGCCCAATCTAGCAAACACACCCATTTAATCACAGTCTGCACATAAATTTAGATAGTTCCATATTTTCAAGGT